CCTTATCAGAGCCCGGGTCCTGCCGCCGCCGCCGCCGCCGCCGGGGTGGCTGGAAAAGGTGCCAAAGCCATAAAGCCGCCAAGCGCCCAAGGTAGACCGGACCTCCGAAGGTCAGCAGCAGCAGGAACAGCAGCGTCGAGTGGTTGAGGCCGGCCGGCCCTGCCGCGGGACAGGCACGAGGAAGGTTGCCGCCGCCTCTGGCCGCGGACTGGGTGGGTGGGGGAGCGGGCAGAGCTGGGAAAGAGTGCTCGGGAGACGACTTCTCCCTGAATTGCTGGTGGATTCTGGGACCTGTAGTCCCAAGAAAGGAGAGGAAAATGGAAGTCGGGTCTTTGAAACGAAAAGTAACTCTCCCAGTCACTTTTCTGATTTGGGGTGTCATGGCAAGGGAGCGAATGGTTCTCTCAGAAGTTTATGGGATGTTCCGCCTCTGGTGCGAAAAATCCTTGACTTCCCTGACACGGAGTCCTGCGGCTCGAGTGGGACGGACCAGGCGGCAGATATTCTTGGTCGGCCCGGCAGGGCAGGTTAGCGGATTGAAGCGGCTCATAAAACGAAAGGAAAATTTAAAAAATAAAATAAAGGAGAGGGCGCGGAGGGAACGTCGGGAGTAAACAATGCTCATCGGAGACGGAGGCGGCTAAGCTGTCAGCTGGCTTGGCTGACGCGAGGGGAGGTGGCGGTCCGGAGCGGGAGAAAAGCGGGGAGAGGCAAGGGTGTGTGTGTGTGTGTCTTGATGGGCTTCTGCTAAAGGTCCCCCTTTCCTAGGATATCCACTTTCTTCCCCAACATTCCCTCCTTGCCTTGAATCCCAGCCGGGAAAGGAGGCGTGGGAAGATACCGTTTGGGCTTACAAGGGGACGCCTTTTAGTAAATTGGTATTGGCGTTCAAATTATCCACGATTTAACCATTCTCTTCTGCCGGCATGGGTTGCGGTCACTTGATAGCTCACCTGGTAGGTACAGTGAAGTCCTCACTGCTACAGACCGACAAGGAATGGGGATGGGATGAGAAGAGAAGTGGGGTTGGCTGCCGTGGTTCGGGCGGCATCGAGAGGGATGCTGCCGGTGTACCTCTGTGGGCTCATATCCAGTCACATAGACCCCGGGTTGCACCTGTAGCAAAAGGCGGTGGTGGTGGTGGGGGCTAGAATGGCCGCTTGGATGGTCCCACCTATAGACTGCGGGGGGGGGGAGAGATCTGCCTCTTAGGGAGGCTACCGCTGCTCTGACCCTGCCGGCCAGGAAGACTGTCGGGGGCTGGCCGTGGTATCACATAGTCTTTTTTGTTGCTCATTAGGAAGGACACCCAATGCGAAACCTGGGATTTTCTGCAGGCAAGCATTATGGGCTGCCAGATGCTGGTGTTCTCTGTTTTTGTCTTTTAAAAACACTCCTTGCAAATAAACAGCAACGTAAGAGGTAACCTGTGCTACATATTACTGTGAGTTTTAATTGTTTAAAATATAAGGGAGCATCAAAACGCACCTGCCTCAAATGCAATGTTAAGTGGGGCAGTCTGTTCTCCCCCAAACTGAGAGAGCTTTATGCCTCAGATCTAACTTCAGTGTTGCATTGAATTGTCCAGAAAGGGAGTCAACCCAGAAAGGCAAATAAATGCATTGAGTTTTGTGACAGCTCACACACCACAGGTGGCATTTCTGCAGATGGGCACAGAGGAAGGCATTATTATTCAATGAAGCTTGGGGCGGTGGGAGGGGGAGCCATCCACACGCCTTCAAAGTAATTCTTCTTTAGTGTTATTTTACATGCTGGAGAGCTGAGCCTTGGCATGGAAGAGTGTGCTGTGGCTCAGATTAAGCAGAATGGCCACAGCCTTGGAAAAATTCTACCAGCCAATGTTCACAGTGAGACGTTCCAGTTTTGGCATTACAAATAGGAAAGCCTGTAAAGCACAGGTTGGTTTGAATCAAGACTTTATTGGAACCACTGACGCTGCACATGTTATTGCAAAGGGTACCAGGATCGAAGCTTGTGCCTTCCACTTTACAGAGTCTGTGAAACTTCTTACCTTTAAAAACTGAAGGAGTAACCCTATAAGACAGGTGACAGCTTCTCCTGCCCGACATTTCAGAGCACAAATACTTACATCTCAGGAACGGGACCTGTGAACTTTTACTTTCATTGAATAACCTCAGAATGCAATACTTTAGGGCAGCTTAATATTGAATATACCCAGCCACCGAACCTTGACAGCTGAAATCCCTTCCTTCCTCAAGTGTTACTGAATGATATATCTAGCTCCATTTTTTGTATATCTTATTGAGTTCTATGTGTCTGCAGTCTTTTGTGCTCAGTCTATATTTTAGGAGTTAGTAAATATCAGAGCTTGAAAAATTACATTTTATTTCTTTATTCTGGATAAAGCAGGGCATTACTGTACTTTGGGAAGTACAGTCCCAATAGGGTACTTGTCCTAATTTTCTATCACAACTAAAGTGGGAACCCTTCTGTATCCCTAATATAAAGCAGGGCATGATTGTATTTTGAGAAGATAATAGCTCCTGAAACTAAATCACCAGCATCACCAGCACCAATATCATCATCATGTGCTGTCAAGTCAATTCTGAATTATGATGACCCTATTCAGGGTTTTCCAGGTAATGAGTACTCCTCAGAAGTGGTTTACCCTTCTCTTCTTCTGGGAGAATCCCGGGACTGTGCCACTTGCCCAAGGCCACCCAGGCTGGCTCTTCTGAGATGCACAGTGGGAGACTGAATTCTCAACCTCTAACTCTAGCCATAGACCTAAACCACTAGGCTATTTGGGCAGCTGTACAGTCTCAAATAGCACAGCCCAAACAGAGAAAACAAGGCCTAAGTGCGGGACTGTTGGGGGTTTATCTGTAACTTCCAAAATCACATTTTGAAAAAAGAAAACGACTTTGAGGGTAATTCCATCTTCCCTAGCCTGTAACTCAGCTTGGAAAAGTTACTCTTGTGGAATACAATTCTCCCGGTCCCCCAGCCAGCCAGGATATGTTTGTAATCCAAAAAATAACTTAGCCCAGAAATGTTGACCCTGATGAACCAGGATGTGACAGCAATTTTGTCTTTGAAAGAGACAAGAGCTTCCAGACATCACAAGATGGATGTGGCGAGGGGAGCTCACATCAATCCAGGGAAAACGAATTAATTTCGTGACATCTTTTAGTATCATAAAAGAGTTTTAAAATAAAGAAGGTGAACACACATCTGCAGCTGGATCACACCAAAGTCCAGTGAGTAGAGTGTTTCCTCTTCAGTTTATTCCAGGCTCCCAAACAATAAAATAAAAATAAGGCACAAAATCCATTCTCTCTTCAGCAAACTCAGTTGTTGTTAAGGTCTCCCCAAGATATGAACTGAGGTGATAAGGTATATTTGAGCTGAGGTGCAACATAACCACTTTAAACAGGTACATTCATTTATCTATGGTCTGAATTGCAAGTTGGAAAAGAATGGCAATGAGAGCAACAGAATCACACTTTCTCTACGTTCAAAAAATATGTGTTTCAAACACTGTTAAAAGGTGTTACTACGATAATTATTACCAGCAGTTGATTTAAAACAGAGAGGTGTTGGGGCTCCAGTCTGTCATTAGGCAAGCAAGGCAGGCCTCTTCATGCAGTTGATTTGGGGCACAATTAAAAGCAACAAGCTGTCAGTTCTTTAATTAACATTTCTACTGCATGCATGTGGGGGAAGGGGTGG